CCCCAAACCCCTTTCTGAGGAAGGTGAACCCCCAGCTCGGCTCTGCCCCTGCCTGTGGGGAGGGGGAGCCCCACAACAGCAGAGCTGCGCCAGGCAGACCCCCCGGCACGTGGCTGCTGCCCAACCCCACGGCCCCGTGCCCCACGGCTGAGGGCTCCACGTGCGCGGGCAGGCTGCAAAGCACCGGGTTCTTTGCCGCAGGCACCGCAGCCACCCGGACAGGGCCGTTTTCCGGTTTACAGGGAGGAGGAAACTGGGTTTACACACGTTTTTACAATCCACATTTTTCCAGCGTGCATCTCTTTCGAGCTCGAGGCGTTCTAGTAACTACGGCAACAAAGGTGCAAGGGGTCCCGAAGCCAGAGCACACACTCCTTCCCTTTCCAACTTTGATAGAAAGTTTTACAGTCGCAGCTTTATGGTTTCAGCAGCGTATAAACTTCTTTCCCCCCATCTGCCTTTGATTTGCATCGCTTAGCCGACAGGCTCAGGCCAGCCCTCGCTCAAAGCCGTGGGATGGAACGCGCGGTGGGAAGCAGCCAGGGAAGGAATTCGCTCCCGTCCTCCTCCGTCCTCACCGCAGAGCGGGATGGTACTGACAGCTACGCTGTCACACAGAGCAACAACGGTGTCAGCATCCCCGTCCCGGGAAGGGGGTGTCCGTGGGACAATCGCGCGCAGCAGCCGGCCCTGGGCGCAGGAGATAACCTCCCGAGCCCCGCACCAGCCCCGTTCTGCCCCCGGCTCAGACGGGCACCTCTGGAGCCTCCTGCAAATTAAGGCTCCTCCCGCCAGTGGAACACGGACAGGGCTTTAAAATCTCACCGGGTGTTAGGCCTTACTCGGCCAGCACACAACCTGGCCGGGTTCCTGCGGAGCTGAAGCAAGTCACCATTCCCATCCCCGAGACAGGCTCGTACGCCGCAGTCAGGGCCGCGATAAATGGCCAAAACTCACATATTGCACCCAGAACGACAGTCCAGGTGAACATGACTGCGGAAGGCTCCCTCTCCCTGCTCAGCAAGCCACGCGTACCGTGTCAGATGAGAGCGCTGAGCAGGACCCAAACCCACCAGCCTGAACGTGGAAGAGCAGGAACCACCACGGTGCAGTGAGGGGGGGTGGGAAGCAGCCCCCTTCCCAATGCAGCACCCAAGGCCAACAGCTGCAACAAGAACCCATCCTCCTCCTTCCTACAGGACAGCCTGACAGTGCTGCTCCGTTGCCAGGGTTACGTAACCCTTCAGTAATGAGAGATCAAGCTCCACAGAAATAGGTGTTTGAAGACGTGAGGATGATCTTGTTACCATCGCAGGAGAAAGGCTTAAATATGCCACAGATGGAGCGTTTCACTCCCTTCTTCTCCAGGGGCAGGAGAGTCCTACAAACCACATCATGAAAACACTGACCTTCCGTGCACCAAAACATCAAATCCGGTACCTTCAGACCCTAACAAGAAATGACCTTAACCGCGAGAGCATCAGACAGGTCTCTGGTGACCCAGGAGCCAGCCACGCACGCTGTTTAAACAGAAAACCCGAGGACAAGGTGCCCCCGCGAGAGCCCTGCTCGGAGCACACCAACCCCAACCCTGGCTGAGATGCTACGGCAAAGCGATACTCGGCGTCAGGCACACTTCCACCTGCCAACCTTCCCTTACCCCTTCCCTACCCCACGTCAGGTGCCTAAGTCACCCCCCCGCCCAAGGAGAGGGGCTCAGGTTCAACGAGAAACCATTTCAAAAATGAAAATTACTTTTATTTCTCAGTGTGATACCCAGAAGACTACACCTGTCCCAACAAGGCCAACGTTAACAGTTATACAAAACATGGGTAGGTATTTACAGACTCCACTGTACAAAATAATTTAAGGTTTACAAAAGTTGCATGCAACCTCTGCTGACTGACACAGTCTAGGAAATCTCCTGGGAGAAGCATTAAAACATCACTGAACTTATTTACTTATTGGTTCAAAAAAAGGGTGTTGCAAGGCTTCATCGAGAGTAATCCTTTTGGCCGGATCGTATTCCAGCATCCTGCGAACAAGGTCGAACAGACTCTGATGATCTGTGTCCTGGCAATGCATGAATTCCTGAAAGAATAAACGGGAAGTATTTGAGAGACACCTTTCGCAACAGCAAACCCAGCCTGCGAACGGAAACACCGCCTCCTACCTTTAAGGGCTTACAGCGTCTCCTAACGTATCGGCCTGCAGAGCTGTGCTCATCCCAGTCCAACTGGTCGTGGTGAAAATAATGCTTTCTGCGTGACGAAGAAATAATTAAAGATCAGTGCCCAAAGTCAACAGATGCTTTTCTAAGAGGTTCTGAAACCCCACAGAGTGTTCCTGCATACCCCCTGCATCCAGGAGCTAACACAGCTTCTGGCTAGCATTTCTGCAGAGACCTGCTGCTTGTGGATGCCCACTGTCACAATATTTAGGAAACAGGCCCTTCAGTATTCCCATCAGAGAAGCCACTGAAAACACATTTTCCATTACTGACTGATTTAGAGATGGATGCTTTCAGGTGCTGCAAGAGAAGAACTTGGTCTCCCCTGCCAGTAACAAATGAAAGAGCCTGTCAATCTATCAGCCCTGACATCCCATCTGTAGCCTACAGAGTGCGGGTGGCTGGCAGCTATCTAACAGCCTGGGTACCCCCAAACGTCCTTCAGCGAGTTACAGGGTTATCCAGAGCAGCTGGCAAGAGGACAACTCACGTCAGAGAGAGAACGGGCCATCAGCTCGCTGGGTTTGGGACATACTGGGGTTAGGGGAGAACCCTGAACTGCTTGCTTCTGCCTGCAGGGAAGTGGGAATCTCCTGCTGCAACTCTGAGGAAGAAAGATCCCCGAAGCCCATGTCAGAGGGATATGAAGGGACAGTGGGAGAGGCTGGCAGCTGTGTGAGCAGACAGGACCCTCTTCTTCCTCTCCACACAAGCCTGATGACAGCAGGTGCTTTATTCTCACATCGTACAGAACAACGCGTGTCTAACACTACTCTGGTGACCACACCAAACTTAGCCCTCAGGCCTTGGGAACCTCATACTCAGCTACTGTCAGAGGTAAGCAGACTGAAGAGGAGATGTTTTGCTTAGAGAGGCTGGTATTTTGGATGCTGGCAACTTGGACTAAAACCAGAGAACAGGACTATTGTCATGTATTCAATTCATCTAAATCCGACACAATTTCTTGCAGCAGACTAACAGGTAACACGAAGCCTGGAAGTCTCTCTGGTGCTCTTCAGAAGCTCACAGCTACCAGTGGAAACTTTCAAATTTCTAATAGGAAAGTATCAGGCAAACTACTCCTCCTATAATGAGCTTACCTGGATTTCTTGATCATGTGAGCTGGCAGAGGTCCCAGTATCCTTTCCATCATTGCCAAGTGTTCTTTGCTATCATGGGTCTGTGTGGGAAGAGCAGTGAATGCACTCGGTCACGTATGCCTACCCTCAGCCGCTTGGTAACAACACTCATCTACACACAGGATGTCTGTCGCAGTACTGCCACAGCACCTTCACACACTGTCACCCTGAGTTACGGCAAACAGACCATGCAGCGCAGCTCGCGATACAGCACTCTCACGGTTAAGATGGGCCCCGAACAGCAGAGCCCATTCACCAAGTTTTGCACGAGGGTGTTTTTTCCTTCCAGCTCCAGCTGTACCTTCACACTCTAGACAGGCTTCATCATCCCAGAAGCCAGAACAGGTCACCTCACACAGTCTGAAGGAGCGACCCAGGACATCCCATTCTCCTAACGGCCTCATCTACGCAATACGTACGGAGCCTGCGAGGTTATGCCTCTTACAGTAAGTTACAGGCCATTTACAGATCCAAATCAGCGCTCTGCAACAAAACCGCTCAGTTTACCTTCACGCACGTACCTGGAACACTGTAAATCCAAGGTAATACTCAATTAGAATACAACCAATGCTCCAAACATCACAAGGCTGCGACCATCCCAGAGCTGCAAAACAGGGAAAGTTAAGTTTTCTTTTTGCTTTTAATTATTAGTTCTTTTAAATATAGTCTCAAAAGCTGTAATCCACAAAGCATATGCCCTGTTTCCATGCATTTACTGATTCCCATTTTCTCTCTCCACACTCCTTCCCAAACCCTGCAGGGAGAAAGAGGGAAAGGAGCACGTCTGGACTTCTGTTTTTAGCACTGCAGACTGTCAAAATTTCGAACATCACCTCCTGTGAGAGACTGAATCATCAGCTCTATGAGCAACTCTTCCAGTTTATGAAGTAAAGGCACCTCAACAAACCACAACTGTCAGAAGGTTTAAAGTCTTTACTGACCTAAAATAACCTCAGGAGCTCGATAGTGCCTTGTCGACACTAATGTGCTGTGATGCTCATCATCAAAAGTTGCACTCCCAAAATCAACGACTTTGATGTCTGTGTTTTTTAAAGTGCGTTCATCTCGCTTCTGCAAGAAAATCAAAGTGCTACTTGTTAGTGTCTTTAAAAGCATGCTTCAGCAAAAGGTGTTCCTCACGTCATCTTCAAAGTACCAGCTGATACAGAATGCTCAAAATTAAACCTACAGAAAAAACACTCTTCTCAAATACATCAACTCCTATCCAGCTCAAGCTCCCAAAGTGGAGCTGATAAAGTGATTTTATCTGAATACTGAACACAGCCGAGCAAAGACCTTTCCCACAGGAAGAACTTCTTTCCTCTTTTGGTAACCTCACGGTAAGTTCCAGTTCCTTGTTCTCTCTGGACTTTTTGTATCCACTGGTACACACATAATTTTAGCTCTAAAAATGTAAAAGTCAAGCCTTACACATAAACCAGAGGTACTGACGTACACTGCGCTTTGTCTCTAAGGAGTTCTTATACTCTGAAAAAAGAGCAGCAACATGACAAGAAAATTGTATCTCTACCAGTGCTAGAAGGGATTCGTACAGACGAGTTCTTATCCTAGCGCTGTGTCCTACTGTTTTCTTACATTTAAGACAGTGGCCCAGGACAGTCCTACCCAAGGCCCATGCCAACTGTAACTACCCAGGGATCAGCATCACATGCTGGTGACAAACAGAAAATCCAAAACTGACAGGCACTTCAGACTCCAGGGCAATCAGACAGAAAGAAGTGACGTTCCTCTCAAAACACAGGGATGCTTTAAAGAAAGCGACTCAAATGGCTGAAGAAATTTGAAGGAATAAAACTGGCTAAGTTCAGAGCCATTAACACAACACTCCTTGGGAGTGCCAGAACAGCAAGGGACTTAACTAGTGATTGGATGGAACAGTTTAGTTTGAACCAAATTTACTCGCTTAGTAGAAAGTTAGTAATCTCAGAGCACAAAAAACATTCTAGGAAATGTAACTATCACCTGACTTCTCTACGCAAGCTTCGTTTTAAGAAAAAGTTCAGATGGAGACAAAGGAAACCAATTCAAGTTGGAAGAAAAAGAACAAAACTTACCATTTTGGCATTGTACTTCACTATGTAATCAGACTCCACAAACAAGATGTTTTCAGGCTTTAAATCTGTATGAGTTAGTTTATTATGGTGTAAAACTACGAGGAAAGAAGAACAGTATTCCATTATTAATACATTTGTTTCCTAAAGAAATAAAAAATTGGTGTAAGTATTGAAATTTACTTACAGTTGATAGATTGGCAAATTTGATAAGCCATATTTCTAATGTCATTAATATGAAATGGCAGAAAGCTGTTTTCTTTAATAAAGTCGTAAGTACTAAGTCCCAGCAGCTCAAAAACAATGCAAACATGGCCATGATGATCAAACCATTCCAGCATCTGGACACAGCGGCTTAAAAAAGAGGAAAAAGAAAGAAATAAGCACATGAAAACTCCCATTACTGAAATATTACCATCTTCTGCAAAAACAATGCAAACATGGCCATGATGATCAAACCATTCCAGCATCTGGACACAGCGGCTTAAAAAAAGAGGAAAAAGAAATAAATAAGCACATGAAAACTCCAATTACTGAAATATTACCGTCTTCTGCAACTCCTGAGTATGCCGACTATTCTAACTATATACTTACAAAGTGCTGCTTGGGTCCATGGTGTTCAAGTGTTCCAACACCTGTATTTCTGAACGGGCTGCCTCCCGGTATCTACCAACATTTTTCACAATTTTAACTGCTACATGCATTCCTCTCCTTTAAAAGAAAGTAAAGCATCACAAACTGAATCAATTATTCCTGTTAAATACCTACAACCCCAAAGCAGCTTGATTTTAATAAAAGAATCACAGAAGATTAAAGGTCAGAGAATTATGAGTCAAATTAGGGGAATGTGACTTAAGCTCACTGAACTTCACCAGAACTGGTTTTATAAAGACACGCAATACTGATCTTTTCCTTCGTCAAGCACTCACAGTATACGCTACACAACCTACTTCTCAGTCTTATTATTTCCCAATTCAATTCTGTACTCTTTACACACACATGCAATCCCTAGTTAGGGCAAGAGCATTTGTAGAACCAACAGAGAAAGATAATGAAGCCATAGTTCTCCCCTTCAAAAAGGGCAGATGACATCTATTCAGTAATTAGTAGTTTGCACCATGTGGCTATGCAGCTCTTATAGAAAAAAAAAGTATAGATATAAAAAGGTTTATTTTTGAAAGAAACTCTCTATGCAGGTATTACCCAAGACAAATGTGGTTAGGGAAGATTATTGTTACAGATTCTCAAAAGCTTAGAGGAAAATAAAATAACCAAAAGTATTCCTCTATATACCATCTGGTATAAAGGCAATACCATGCAAGGCCTTTCACAGAGCAACAGAGGAAACAAACATTCATAATATTGGAAGAGATGACAGAACAACCTTAAAAACAATCAGGGACAGATGTAGTACCACCTGAATAGCCTCACAAATGCACTTACAAGGTAGTTCTCAAAACCACTGCAATTTATGTCTTCAGTATACTGCAACACTATCTGAACTGTGACTTTCTCTTCAAGAAAATGCCCGAGCTCTAATTTCGGCGCTAAATAGCGCCTTTTGTCATGACATCCGCTTATAAAGGTAATCAACACTTACATATCGTGATCTATGCACTCCACTACTTTTCCAAAAGCTCCTTCTCCTAAAGTTGCAACAATTTCATCTAAAAAGAACAAACACAAGTTAGAATTCTGCAACCACTCAAACAAGAACAAATATTATTAATGTAGATTTAAAAATGTGCCATTACAAAAGCATAATTACTTTAAATCTCAGCATCTGAATGCATTATTTTATTGGACAGGTGTCATGAAAACAGTTAGCCAAAAAAAACTATCTAATCTCAAGATTCAAGTTCATTTACTAATTGGAACTTTCTGAACACAGTATTTAAATTCTACAGAAAAGAAGATATGCAAAATAAACAAAAGAGCACAAAAAAAAAAAAACAGAACAAAAGAGCAATGAAGATTTCTTTAGCCCCCCTCCTCTGACATACTATTCTAAACAGATTTTTTGCTGAAAAGTTTTTTAAAAAGTGTTGAAAAATGTTCTATACATCTTGCTCTTAGAACGTCTCCACTTTCACAGATCAGGTGACCCTCCTCATCATCCTCTACACTCCTGGATCTTTTCCTTCGGTGACTCTTCTGGAAACGGCACCAAGATCGTCCAGCCAATCAATATATCAGAGTGAATTCAGGGCAGAATACGCAATTCATTCAGCGGGGAGATATTCAGGCATTCAGTTACACACCAGGCCACGAACAGTTGGCAGGAGCAATTTCAAATTCAGTCCCCAGAAATTCACAGGGCACAGTTTATGTTACAGAAGAAAAACATGGCAAGGAACAGATTTTCAGATAAATACTTAAAGTGATAAAACAACAGAAAAAAACAACACAATTTTGTCTCTCAAACAGTGGCTTAATTGAAGACAGATTAAGACTGCAACATCGCTATTTCTAACACTTTGCTAGCAAATAGCAGAAAACTGTATATTTACATATCTAAGCTTACAGTCAGGTGAAATGTTTCTATTTTTAAAACACACACTTTATGTAATCTAAATATAAAACTACCAAGTAATTTTACTTCCCTCATGTTAAGAGAGAAGAAAAATTACTCGGAAGCCCTTAATTCGCAGCGTATAAGCTAAGACACCTCGCTGTTTCTACTGCAGGGATGTCACATAAAACACCTGGAGCTAAAGATGCATCAGTGGGCATTATGCCAATAACGAGCAACTCAGAGAGCATGCCTTCAAAGGCTGGCAGCAAACTTATCCCATCTTCCCCAAGACATTAGCTGCCATTAGCCAGGCACATGCTTGATCAAAGTTTTCTGGAATCAGGTGTAGAATTGTTCTTATCAATTTACCAGACATGCACGTTTCATGCTCTCAATTAAGCTTACATTAAAAAGGCATGCCAATTCAATTACTTTCAGTAACAGAAGCTATGACATCTCACAGTCTATCTGAAAACACGTAGTTCACTATGCTATAAAACTAAAAAGTGATAACAGTACTTTGAAATAGGCTATTTAACCACCTTCAATTTCGAGATAACATTCTTCAGATTAATCCCAGTGATCTTACCTACTGGCCACCTACTTTCCCACTGTATAACTAGTACTGGTGATAATCCCACCTCCCACCCAATACATCACCCCAACGTCTCACTAAGAACATTCATACGCCCACATGTGGACTCAACTACAAACCCTTTTTAAACAATACAGTATTTCTTAAAGTACTGTAATCTGGAACTGAAGTTCTAGCACTCACTTAAGTAGTCTATTACCACTAATTGATTAATAATAAGTTAAAAATTACTCATACCGAATGCGATTGGTGACTGGAGCAATGATGTCTCTTATGCTTCCTTTTATGACTACTTTTCCTGCTCCGACCAGAGGATTTGCTATAGTGATGATGGTGACTCTTTTCATAGTCTCTGTGATAATGCCTGTGGTCATATACTTCACAGAAGTTATTTCTGTATTCCTCAACATATCTCCGGTCATGATGGTCTCTTTCATTTATGGCTCTATCGTCCAAATAATGACTGAAAATATATTTTAAGTGAATGTTCTCCACTTCAAAAACTTGAGGTTCCAACAAGATAAGTGACTTCAGCTGAGTTACACTTACACAGTCTTTACACCAAGAATGTTTTCTTAATTGACTCCCTCCCCAAAAACAGTGGAGCTTTTGATGTTACTTTATTAGGAATCTAACAACATCGTCAGTCTCAAATACACAGCAGCCATCCACGAACATTATAGAATCCATCCACAGTATGCACAGTAAATAAGAAACCCGGACTCCAAAAGAAGAAACACTTCCTAAAATGTACTGAGCAACTCTATGCAATCTCCAACGTCAGAGGATAACACAATACAGCAGTCATCTCCTCCTGCGCTTCCAAAGCTCAGAGCGCTAAATGAAAAATAAAACCTGGGGACCAGGAGAAGGATCACTGTTCTTAGTGCTCTGCATTAAACATTAAAAACCTCAGAGTGTCTGGATCAAGGATCTTCCGCACAGAAGAAAAACCTTAAGCAAGCAGCCGAGGCGGAGAGCCCCATATTGCTGTACATCTACCTCTTCCAGCATTTCGTAAGCATGAGTACGTGCTCTTACAATACTTCCATAGAATTTTATTCTCAAAGAAAAAAAAACAAAAACAAAAACCCCCAACAAAACCCACATCTTTCCAGGGAAAGCGACATGGAAGAAAAAATAAACCACCTCCAACTTAGTAAGAGAAACTCATACTTACCATTGTATTAAACGATTAAACAAACCTTCTCTTACTTTTGTTCACATGAAACAAATAAAGAGGCATACTTTTAACTTGAGATTTCCTACTGAATGCATTCCATGCCAATATGCAACTGACAACAGCGGAACAAACCAGGAACATTTACTTGGTTTTATTACAGAATTTCTATTTACTGATTCAGGTACTGTTAACAAAACCACCTGACTCTTCAGCTTCTCATAAGCGAGCCAGACCTTAAGGAACTGCCAGCTCTGGGCACTCAAACTCTCATCCTGAAAACGTATTCATTTTAGACGCGGTAAGAAACAGTCACGCTACTCAATTCAGAATCTTGTACCTTTCTGAAATGTGATTTGGCTTATAGTGCTTGCTTTCTTGTCCACTGCTCTGGGACCTTTTCCTGCGTTTACGGCTGCTACTGTGCTTCCTTTCATCCCAGCTCTTCCTGTCGTCCCATTCAGGACAATGGGATTGCTTTGAATGCCGCATCTGCCACTAAAAAAACAAATCAACAGAAACACAGAGAAGACAAACAGCATTATACTAGTATTTGTAGATGCAAGCCATCTACTGACCAAACACGACAGAACTAGAAAGAACCATTTCCTCAAATAATTCTTGTTTCTCAGCTTCCCCCACGTACTCTTTTGGTTTGGCAAGCAGACATAGCTTTCGCATCCTAACGCTGTAACACTGTTACAAAACACAAATCACGATTAAATAGGCCAACTCATCTTCACTCAATAGCTTCAAACATGTCATTAAAGGCTGTTTTAAATCAACTCTCAAGTGACTAAACAGAAACATTTCCTTAAAGAGTCCTCTGTTGGAGAGAGATCTCAATCTTCAAACATCCTCTCCAACAGAACCTGGGTTTTGTTCCTCCTACTGTTTTTTACTTAATTTACTACATGAAAGTCAAGTATGTTCAATCGCTGACAAATCTATTTATAGATCACTGCTAAACAGCCACTTTTTAAGGTTTCAGTAACAGAGGGAACTCTAAATTAACATAACTGTAATACCATAAGCCAAGCCACAATTTTTTAACCTAATTAGCATGCAAGTATGTGGGTGGTTTACAATTCAGCTGATTCGCCAAAGACAAAACCCACCAGCTTCTGTTGCTGGATGTGATATGCAGGAGTTCTCTGTTCAAACAGGTACATGCACAACTGAAAAGAAAAAAAAAAGGCAAGTAAAGCACAGCTGCAAAATTAGGACTATAACAAAACCAACTGTTATCCCTTTACTCTGGTGGGTGATTTTGAAAATAAGAATAGGCTAGTGTGCCTATTTCAGTATATTCTGAAGAATGAACTAACACAGGACAAGAAAAAGCTTCCATAGTAATCAGTGATAGCAAGAAAAGTAGTTTAGAAACAAAGACAGCACTAAAAATGTCAGGACTGTGTAAAACTGCCCCAGAACCATGTTAGCTGCCTCTACACCAACTGGAGGCATTAAGGGGGAAACTTTTAGAACTATGTAAACATTAAGCTTCTTCTGAAATAGAGGTTTTCTGATCCTTTCATAATATTTGTGACAGGCTGGTAGTTAAAAAAAGGACACCCCCCCCCAAAAATGATTTTTAAAGAAATCTGTTCTTAAAATACAAACCAATGCAAACATAGTGACAAACTATGCACAAGTGACTGGTACAGCCTCTGAGCCAGCCATCATCTAGGTCGTGCAAAAATCTTACTCACTTATGATACATTAATGAGAAATAAAAATACTGATGCACTGAATGACAAAAACGCCTGAAGGATCAAGACAAAATTAAAACCAATTAGTGTTTCATTTACACACCTGAATTTTTTCTTTTCTTACCCAGCTCCAAAGCCTTTTTCCTCTACTTTCAACCTACGTAACTCGAATTATGAAACATGCTCAGGTTTCAATTATTCCACTTGTGAGGTGAAGAGTTCCACACACACAACCGGTTATAGGAGAACTGAAGTTTCTACTTATGCTCGTCCATCATCCCCCCTCATTTGGGAGAAGTCAGGCTGCAGTAACGCTAGATAGGGGACAAATACCTAAATAAAATCACCATTACAGTGTCCTGCAGAGAAGGGCTTGGGGGTGGAAGGATGGCCAGTGACACAAAAACTGGAGAAAAGCTTTAGCTGAAGACTAACTGCTGCTTAACTACACTCAAGCGCACGCAGAATTACTGGCATTAAGATGGAAGTTGCAAATTCTGTCCCGAAAGCAGCCAAGTAAATGCAGATGTGGAAATTGTTAGAATCGGACCGTGCAAGGCCCCAAGTGGCCGCAACCCATTTTACAGGAGCCACCTTAAGATTCCGAGTACTACGCACTCTAAATTTATGCACCGAAGCACTTATGTAACGCGGACAGCTGACTGCACATACGCGTTCCTATATGGCATGTGGCCCTCATCCACACCACAGGCCTTTCCCACTCCCGCATTTTGCCATAAGGACTCTCAAACAGGAGCCACCGAATTTCTGTAAAAGAGCCACACAGAAAGCGCCTCAGGAAGGGCCACAAAAGTCCTGCCTCAAGCTGCCTACACAGCAGTTTCTAAACGTCTCTCCTGGAAAACTTGGCAGGCTGCAGGGACCGGAGGAGGGCAAAGGCTTATTCCTTTGAGATGAGCAAAGTCCGCCCGGCCAGGCCGGCCTGAACGCCTGGGCTGACAGGCGGGA